TGTATATATATATATATACATATATATATATATATATATACATATATATATATATATTCTTTGAATGAAATTGTAACAGACGCATGCATGCATCAAGCAGATATTTTTGTTGAATTTTCTTAAAATAAATTCTTAAACGAGCGAATGCATGATAAAAATAATTAATTTTTTTGTTTTATCTCTTTCTATTCCTTTTAAACATATTAAAAGGCATATTTAATAATTAAAAGTTTAATTCTTTTTGCTTTTACCCCTAATATATAGCTGTACAGCTTCTCTTGCAGCCAGCCACCCGCGGAGTCGCTGTAGGGGGCCCTGTGCAGAAAAATGATATATTTTATGTTTATTTGTCTCTATTTCTTTAATAATATGAATATATTTAGAAAATAATATTAAATTTGTCTTTCTTCTTCTACACACAGGAGCAATAAGAAAGAAAAACCCTCAGTGCGTCGTCAGCTGTCTGCACGGGGGCCCCAGCGCGAGTGTATGAAAATATTTCTTTTCAGGTGTATATGCAGCTCCGAAATGCAATTAAAATATATTTTCAAGGGATTATATTCATTTAAATTTTATTATTATGCGAATAAAGAGAAGGAGAGCCGTTGAATATTCTTCTTTGTGCTACGGAGGCGACAGATTACCCTATGCAGCTGCTGCGTCTTCTTTTAAAATTTGTTTAAATATATTATTTTTATACAAATGACTAATAAAGATGTTAATGCTGCTCTAATGAAGCAGACATTTCCTTCAGAAGGCCTTCAGGTGATAGATAGTGTGTCTGCACATCTATCGTTGAGAGAGGCAAGATACATCCCTATATATTTTTACTCTTTTAAATAAATATTTAAGAGTTTTATATCTTTAATAAGTCTCAGTATATTTATCTTTATCAATATTTTATTATCTTCGTTGTTTGCTCTTGCTAATTTATTTCCTTTGCTACATTCTTTATCTTTTAAAAGCCGCTGTATCTGCATGTATATACACTCCACATATAAGTTAAAGAGAATGTTTAATAAATAAAAACCTTATTGATAAATAAATAATAATAAGATATATATATATATATATATTTTGAATTGTTTTCAGGGGAGGTACTTCATTGAATTATGCTGGTGCCGTGATGAGGACAGAGAACATAATTTAATTTATATATCTGTTGTTTCTGAAGACTCTTTAAATAATAAACATCAGCAGCAGTGGGTAGGCGAATATAAAGCATCATTTCTGCAACAACTTACTGCAAGGACAGGCTCTCCTCTTTCTCCTCGAGCTCTTTGGGAGCTCCTCGTTGGGGCTGTAGCAGCAGCAGAAGCAGATACAGCAGCAGCAGCAGCAGCAGCAGCAGCAGCAGCAGCAGCAGATGGACGCCCAAGAGAGATAGAGCATGAGCATGCAGCAGCAGCAGGTGTTTTCTTAAACTTGTGGAGGTAAAATCACAGCAAAAACCCTAAACCCTAAACCCTAAACCCTAAACCCTAAAGACAAGCCACACTTCCCGCGCTGCTCTTGTAGCTGCTGCTGCATTCATGCATTAGCTGCTTTGTATGCTTTATTTTTGCTGCTCCTTGTGCTGCTTGCTGCAGTGCAGCAGACCTGGCGGGGTTAAGACGTAGAGCTGCAGAAGGTAAAGATATTGTAGCAGATAAACTTAATGCTGCTGAGACGAAGCTTTTTCTTATTATTACGAGGGCTGTAGAAGGCAAGAAGGTGCATTATCCATTAGCACTCACAAATAAAGCAGCAGCAGCAGCAGCAACAGCAACAACATCTGCTGCTGCTGCTGCTGCTGCTGTTCATGCTGCTGGGGCTCCGTCGCCCTCTATTGCTGCTGAGAGCCCGAGAAGCTGCAGCCAAGACGTTGCTTCAGCTGGACTCAAGCAGCAGCAGCAGCAGCAGCAGCAGCAGCAACAGCAACAGCTGACGCCGCGGTCGCCTTTGCTAATAGAAGGCCAGCGGCCCGACTACAGGTCGGAGTTGCTGCAGATGGAGGCGAGGCAGCAGCAGCTGAGGCAGCAGCAGCAGCAGCAGCAGCAGCAGCAGCAGCAATATGGAAAGCTAGCTGCATCTGCAGCTGCAGCAAGCGAAGGCTTAATTGATGGTGACGCCGCTACGTGTTATGTACAAAGACCCCGAAGGACATTGCTGCAGCAGCAGCAGCTGCTGCAGCTGCAGCAGCTTGCGTGTCAGGACCCAAGAAGCCCAGCGCAGCTGCTCTACGCTGGAGAGGGATGCTTAGGTCATGACGCTGCAGCAGCAGCATCGCCAGCAACAGCAGCAGCAGCAGCAGCAGCAACGGGGATGCTACCTATGGGGGCTGATGCTGCAGCAGAGTTGCTGCGACTGAAGGCGCTCGTTGCGGAGCAGCAGGCGGCTTTAATCGAAGCGCGGAGGCAAAATGTAGGGTGTATAGACAGCAGAGTTCAGGTGTATCTGCTGCTGCTCTAATAGCTGCAATGAGGAGCGCCGTATCCCTAAGAAGCTGTGCAGCAACAGCAGCTGCTGCTGTTGCTGCTACTGCTGCTGCTACTGCCGCTGCTGCTGCTGCTGCTACTGCTGTTACCACTATTACTGCTACTGCTGCTACTGCTATTGCTGCTGCTGCTGCTGCTGCTGCTGGTTTGTGCACAGGAGCTGCAGCCGTCTTCATTTAGAGAATTCAACGGAGACCCTCAGGGGCTGATGGCGCAGCTGCACAGAGTAGAGGTAATTGCTGCTGTCTGCTGTGCTGCACCTGAATTCTTCTTCTTTGGGGGCTTCTTTGCTGCTGCTGCTGCTGCTGCTGCTGCTGCTGCTGCTGCTGCTGTGGCTGTCTCCTTGGCCCTGGCAGCTTCAGGAGACACTTCGAGACGACCGCATAAATGAATTTGCTGCTGCTGCTGTTTCTGCTGATGCCTTTTTGCTGCTGCTGGCGTTGTTGTTGTGCTACTGCTGTTCTCATGCTGCTGCTTCTTATTGCTGCTCTTGCTGCTGCTGCTGCTGCTGCTGCTGTTAGGGGGAGCTCTTCATGTCACGCCAGCGGCTGCAAGCAGAGCGGCAGCTGCGCGCGAAGGAGACGCAGCGCTTTCGATTAGAAATAGATAAAATAAAAAAGACAGAGACAGCTCTGAGGGCCAGGGTAAGATGTTTAAAAGTGTTTCTAACAGAAAACGCCTAAACCCTAAACCCTAAACCCTAAACCCTAGGATCTAAACGATATATAGAGACAGACAGCAAAGCGACGTGGGGCCCCCTCAAACCCTGACGCCCCTATGTTATTCTTTGCTGCTGCTGTTTAATTATGTATTAAATATTTTATTGTTGCTGCGCATGCATTTGCTTTATTTATTTGTCTATGCATGCATGCTGCAGGTTCGGGAGTTAGAGGCGCAGCTGCGCATCAACAGCTGTCGATTAAGAAGGTAAGAAACGTATTATTATTATACAAATATATTATATATTATATATTATATATAATATATTTATAATTTTATATATATATGTATGATATGCACAATATAATATATATGTATATAATGTAATATAATGTATTATAATATAATGCATTGCATATTATATATAATATAATATATTATAATATAATGCATTATATTTTTTATATATTATATATAATATATGTTATATTATAAAACTTGATATACAGATAAAAGAGAGAGAATATGTTTTATTTACTCTGCTTTCTTGTGTACGCTGCATTGTCGTGAAGCGCTTCTTCTGTATATACAGCAGCGAGGCTTTCTTTATCTTTTTCTTTGTTTTGTTTGCTTAGACCTGCAGCTGCTTCTGGTGTTTCTTCTCCTGCTGTTCGTGTAGCAGCTCCCCGCTGTCATTCTTCTGATGCATTTGTATCAGAAAGACGCAGCAGCAGCAGCAGTTGCTGCTGCAGCAGCAGCAGCAGATGCTGCAACAGCAGCAGCCTCCATCAGGAAGCTATTAGGGGCCGTACGAGGGCCCCAGTGCAGCAGCGGTCTCCCGCTGCCGCTTCTGCTGCTGCTGCTGCTGCTGCTGCTGCTGCTGCTCCTGTGTACATTAAATCGCATTCTATGAAGGAAGGGGGGGCCCCCAGGGCCCCTTCTTTATCTCCTTTTGAGAGAAGTTGTTTGTTAACTTCGCCAGAACAAACAATTAGAAGAGGACGCTCTTCTTCACCTTTTCTTGTATCTCAGTCTCCTAGGTAAGGCTATATGCATGTTTATATTTTATTCTTTATCTATTTGCATTATATAATTATATTATTTACTGAGTGTATGCTATGTACAGCTTTTTATTTATTCAATAGATATACTTTACTGCAATTTTATACGCAATATATAATATATATAATATGCATAATATATATAATATAAACTGCATATCAATAATATATATATATATATATTATTCATAATATGTATATATTTGTTCTGGATATAATATATATATATATATATGTATATTATATAATATATATAATATATATTTTTTATTTCTATAACAATAATTCTTTTTAGCATGCAGCACTTTGTATATTTCACCATTATAATTTTATGTTTTTGTTTTATAAATATATTATTTGTTTTGTTTGTATTTGTTTTGTTGTTGTGTGCTGCTTAGTATGAACAGAAGCAGGCCCCTAGGGCCTACATTATCTAAGGGGGTGCAGCGAGGGCGTTCAAGTTTAAATTATTATGTTTCTTCTTCTTTGTTAGCATCAACTGCATCTTCTCGAGCTCGTCAGCGCTCTATATCTGTCAATTCAGCGTGCAGCAGCAACAGCAACAACAGCAGCAGCAGCAGCAGCAGCAACATGCGCAACCCTTATCGAGCAGCAAACACCTGCTGCTCTTCCTGTGCATGCGCCCCACGCATGCAGCTTCCAGCATACACCGCACAATCAGGGGGCCCCAGGGGCCCCCCGCTGCAGCAAAGGCGTCAGCACTCCCCCAGAAGAACTTCGGCTGTCTGGAAGAGTAATCTCGCAGGGCCTTCAGGCCTATACCCGCATAACAAACAACACAGCGCTGCTAACATACCGTGAGCTGCTAATTGCTATTGCTGCACCTGATGCTGCTGATGTTGCTGCTGCGCCTGATGCGGTTGCTGTTGCTGCTGCACCTGCTGCTGCTGCTGTTGCACCTGATGCTGGTGCTGCGTCTGCTGCTGCTGTTGTTGCTGCTGCATTGCCGTTGAATGCGGGAGCATGTGCCTCGTTTCAGTTGAAGTTGAATATTTTTTAAAGAACAAAGTATTTTATTTCTTTTATTTTATTAAAATAATAATAATAATATTACTAATAATAATTTTAAAAAGTGTTGATCGCTTTTATTCTCTGCTGAGCTGCGTTGTGCAGATGTCGCCACCGATCTTCAGTAGGAGAAACAAAAAGAAATTCTTATTGCATGCACATCTCAACCCCTCCTCCTGATGTGGGGCCCCTGAAGCACTTCAGCAGCCGGGCGCTTCTACCTGATCCTCCCGCTGGGCCGGACAGGGAAAGCGGGGGTAATCTACGGTTTAGGGGGGCCCCCAGGGGCCCCCCCGGGGGCCCTCAAGGGGCCCCCCCAGGGAGCCTCTCTGGAGGCCCCCCAGGGAGCCTCTCTGGGGGCCCCAAGCTGGGGCCTATGAGCAGCTTGAGGGAGAGAAGCCCTTTTGCTGCGGAGGCAAAGTGCGAAGAAGACGCGCTGTTGCCTGCGAGTGCTCTTCCCGGGCCTCCGTATCAGCAACAGCAACAACAGCAGCAGCAACAACAACAGCAGCAACAACAACAGCAGCAGCAGCAGCACGAGCAGCAGCAGCAGCAGCCGTTTGTTGTTCTATCTGCTGTGGAATATGAGAGGCTGAAGCGTAGAGGGTATACAGAACATCTAAGGCAAGGAAGCGCAGTAGAAGGAAAGACAAATATATCTTCTCTCTCTTCTGCTGCTTCTTCTGAAGAGGGCCCCAGCACGGTGCTGGATCGCCTCAGGCCTCCGCTCCCCCGGCTGAATAGCGTAGCACCAGCACCTTGTCATATTATGAATAATAATAATAATAATAATAATAATAATAATAATAATAATAATAATAATAATAATAATAGTAATAAGAGGGAGGCCGGTGCTCCGTCTAGAGAAGACAGCTCCGCATTAACAACAACGTGTTCTAACGACCATACTTCAGCAGAAACTCCTCAAGTAGCTGATGAGCCTTCGCTCTCTTCTTTGTTGTTAATGCCAACGGATATAGGCTTCAACAAGCCCTTCAGGCAGCCTTCACTCCTCTCCTCTGATGCATCAGCATCAGCAACAGCAGCAACAGCAGCAACAGCAGCAGCAACAGCAGCAACAACAGCAGCAGCAGCAACAGGGAGAACGAGAGAAAAGGAGGAGGCCCCGGGGCCCCCTGAGAAGAGGGAGGAAGAGCAAAGTAATTTGAACACAGTTAATGCAGGGAGCGCTGTCTTCTCTGAAATCGATGAAAGGCTCACAGCTTTGCAGCATTTTCTGAGAACTACACGCAAAAGCTTCCGCCTTATGGAGACGGGAAAGCTTGGGGCTTGAGGCCCCTAATTGTGCATGCGCATCTTTCAAACAAAGAAAGAGTTTTGTTTTGTTTTGTTTTGTTTGTTTTGCTTGGCTTCATTAGCAGATAAATACAATCAAACGAAAAAGATTGCAGCTCCTCGTAAATACAATATCCAACTTAAGGCGGCTCATGCTTAGAGAGCAGCGACAAACATCAGCAAATAATTTTATATAGAAATACCGACAGGAGGAAATCCTTAGCCAGTCAGTCAGCCACCTCTATTATTGATGCTGATTTAATCAGCAGCAGTATAATACTACTATTCAGATTCACTTGGAGGGCGTAGTGTTTAGGGGTATATATATCTGCAGCAACATATTATATATATATATATATATTGCTGAAGGCGTGCATATTATGCAAACGGCTGCAATGCCTACT